CCCATAAAATAAGCCCTAGCAGGATTTCTAACATTTGCGCAATAGAAGCCCTACCCCGAAAATAAGCCCTAGCGATGGGCGTGGCCACGCAGCGCATCTGCACAACCCATGCATTTTGTCTCGGGGCGGTAAAGAAGACGAGCAGCCCTTCTCATCTGCCCCATCGTGACAGCTACTATCCCAGAGGTGACCGGAAAGGTGCGGGCAGCCCCACCAACAAGGTCGGCTCCCCCTGACAGGTCCCAGCCATCCTGTGCATGCTGCAAGCTGAGGCTTTGAGGGGAAAACAACACATCCCCTGAAAATACGCCCTAGGGTGTCTTCTTGAGGAAAAATAAATATAAGACCCTGTCTTATTTCCGGGGAAACACGGTAGCTACCCAGGCCCACGCACAGGAGACTACACAGTCACACACAGTAGACTGTCAGTATTTGCCTACATACACGAGCCTAGGCATGACCCACACATACATGCTTTTGAACACGTCTGTAAACAGCCAGGTGCACGCAGGCTCACACTGCACGTACACATGTGACACCCCTGTGTGCAGATAGCCACGTGCATACACACAATCAGCTGTGTGGATTTGTGCAGGCAGACACGGGGCAAGCACATATCCATGTAGGATGCAGACACTGGGCAGATCTGCACACAGACCCCAGTGAAGAATGCACTTGCTGAAAGGGGCCTGAATGTTCGTGGAGTCACACGCCATGTCCATGTTCATTTGCACATGGGAAGAAGTAGTGTCATACAGTGGTTACAAGCACAGATGCTGGAAGCAGATGGCATGGATTTGAATCCAGGCTCTGCTCTGCCACTCACTGGCTGTGTGGCTTTGACCATCTTACTTAACCTCTCTGTGCCTCAGTCGCCTCATCTGTAAAATAGGGATAATAACAGCACCACTTGGTAGAATTGTTGTGAGGATCCAGGTCTATACCACACTCTCTGGGTTCGATTCCTGCCGTACAGGCTGCTCCTTCTCACCTCCTTGCTGGTTTCTCCTTGTTGCCCAGTATCTACACCCTGGAGGCCTCCAAGGGCTCAGTCCTGGGCCTGTTCTCAAATCTGTCTACACTCAGCCTTGCTGACATCACGCAGTCTGTAGCTGGGGACTTCCATCCCTAGATCCCGCCTCTCTTCATTGTCCCTCGCCCCACGTCACCCCTCTCCATACCTAGCGGCGATTCCTGGTGCATCCTTCGAAGCGCTTCCTGGCCTGCACGTTCAGTGCCTGCCTTGGCCCTTCGGACTCCTCCTTCATACGCCCTTGCTTCATCCTGCTTGCTTTGCAAAACCCCAAACCTGGTTCAACGCAGCTTTCTACCCACTCAGTGCCTGGACCTGGGAACCTAAATGTGGCTGGGGACACACACATGGCGGTGGCGGGACTCACTTTGAACTCATGACCTCCACCGCCCCGCTCTCCCGGTGACCCCTCCGTACCTTCTCCTTTCTCCTTGACCGTCCAGCCATGTCCCCCACACCCTCACTCGCAACTGCTCACCTTCTCTGTGTCGCTGGGAAATCAAAGCACTGGGAAGAGACCTTCCCAGCTTGGTCCCCACGACGCCCCGCCAGCAGCAGCCGTGCCCACACCTCCCGCGTCTCATGGCTTCTAAGATGCGTCTCTGTTAAGCCACGTCTTAGCGTCTCTGAAACTGGAATGTTTCTTATAATCAAGAACTTTTCGTTCTTCTCTCTTACTTTTGGGTGGGTGTCTTACATTTGATGGTACTCAGATTTGATGAAATGTGATAGCACGTGTGCCCTGGTGTTACCAAGGATGGACTGTTCTAGAACCAGCTAAGACCACCCCCTTCCCTAGCGCCCTGGATCACATCCACACTCCTCCCCTCAGGACACCATGTCAGCAGCTCTCTCCCGCCTTCCTGTAGACTCCTTTCCCCTCTCTGCTGGGTTATTCCCATCCACTCGTTTTATCCCTTCCAACTTATACAAATGCTCTTGAATGGCCTCACCCCACCGGCCTATCCTTCCCATTCTAGCAAAGCGCCTTAAGAGCGCCTTCGTTGCTCACCTCTCCAATCCTCTCCTCCCTTCCTCTCTTGAACTCCCTCCAACCAGACTTCGATGTCAGCGTCCTATTCCAGCTGCTCTTGCCGAGGTCGTCAGTCGGTAAACGCAGTCGCCAGCTCTCGGCCTCCTCTCGTTTGCCCTCCGCACAGCACCTGCACACAGTCCAGCACTCTCTCCGCTCGGAACACATTCTCATCTCCTTTGCTGGTTTCTTTTTTTTTTTTGAGACAGAGTCTTGCTTTGTTGCCCAGGCTAGAGTGAGTGCCATGGCGTCAGCCTAGCTCACAGCAACCTCAAACTCCTGGGCTCAAGCGATCCTCCTGCCTCAGCCTCCCGAGTAGCTGGGACTACAGGCATGCGCCACCATGCCCGGCTAATCTTTTCTATATATATTAGTTAGCCAATTAATTTCTTTCTATTTATATAGTAGAGACGGGGTCTCGCTCTTGCTCAGGCTGGTGGTTTCGAACTCCTGACCTCGAGCAATCCGCCCGCCTCGGCCTCCCAGAGCGCTAGGATTACAGGCTTGAGTCACCACCCGGCCACCTTTGCTGGTTTCTTTGTGGTCTAATATCTAAACCTTCAAGGGCCCCAGGGTGAGTCCCTGGGGCTTTTTGCTCAAGTCTGTCTACACTCACTCCCTGGCTGATAGCATCTACTCGCCTGGCTTTAAATGCCACCTCCGTACTGATGGCGCCCCTGAACTGGGCACTGCATCTCGTTTTCTCTCCTTGGGTGTGCACCAGGCATCTCGAGGGTTATGTACTCGAGAACAAACTTCTGATTAGAACAAGAAGATGCAGGGTGAAAGGAGCGGCTCAGGTTTTGATGGCCGGGGTGAGGTGGGGGCGAGGGACATTGGATTCATGGAATTCCACAGCCCGTTCCCAGGTGCATAAGCAAGCATCCCAGGAAACAGACCTTCCAGCAAATGATGGGTGGGGGGACAGCACTCCAGGTACGGGATGCAGCAGGGGCAAAGGCCCCCAGGGCGCGTTTGGGGGGAACAGTGGGCAGGTGGGCAGTTCATGAGGAGTCAAGATTAGAGTAGTGTACTGGAGTTAAACCAACTCTTGAAAGGGCTTTAGAAGCCGGGCATGGGAATTTGAACATTAACGTGTAGTCGGTGGGGAGAATTGAAGGTTTTTGAGCAAAGAGGTGATGTAGGAGACCAAAGGAGCTCCAGAAGTTCAAGTCTAAACACCTGGAAGAAACAGGTTTCACAAACAAGTGTTTTCTAAATACCCAGGCTAATTTTAGATGGCACACAAACGTGGTGATGAATAATATAAAAGCAAATAGTGAGAGTTATTTGCTTCCAATTCCTTTGATTATATGAAAGAAAGAGTGTTAGTATGATGCTAGTACTTACCCCTTTATAATATGCGTTAACATCTGCCCCATTCTTAAAAATAAAACAAGTCTGGGGCATAGAGATTTTGGCAGGCGGTTGTATCCAGTTTGAATTTAATAGCATTTGTTTTGTTTTTGTTATGCTTACTTTTATTATTGCAGATAGCTTATGGCTGATGATTCTGTTAATTATATAGTTTCTGTTTTCATTCATCATTCAGTAAAGATTTATTGAACACTGGCCAGCACAGTGGCTCACACCTGTGATCCTAGCACTCTGGGAGGCTGAGGCAGGAGTGTTGCTTGAGCTCAGGAGTTCGAGTCCAGCATAAGCAAGAGTGAGACCCTGTCTCTACTAAAAATAGAAAAATTAGCCGGTTGTCATGGTGAGCCCCTGTAGTCTCAGCTACTCGGGAGGCTGAGGCAGGAGGATTGCTCGCGCCCAGGAGTTTGAGGTTGCTGTGAGCTAGGCTGACGCCTCGACACTCTACCTGGAGTGATGGAGTGAGATTCTGTCTCAAAAAAGGGGGGCGATCTATGAGCACCTACTGTGTGTCAGGCATAGTTCCAGGAGCAGGGGGCACAGCCACAAGCAAGACAGACCAAAATCCCTGCCTTCAAGGGGCTTCTGCTCTACTAGAGGACGGCAGACAACTAGCAAAGCGAGTGCATGAGACAGATGGTGCCATAATGGTGGGGTTCTACATGGAAAAACAAAGCTGGGGAGGGGTGGTGACTGCTGGGGTTGGGAGTTTTCATCCTAAATTGGTGGTCTGTGAAGCCCTCAGGAAGCTGGCATTTGAGCAAAGACCTCGAGGAAGTGGAGGAATGAGCCCCGTGGCTAGGTGGGAGAAGACTGTTCCAGGCAGAGGAAGCAGCCAGTGCAAAGGCCCTGGGGTGGCAATGTGCATGGCACGAGGAGCCGCAGAGGCCAGTGTGGCTGGAGCAGAGTGAGCGAAGGGGAGAGAAGTAGAATCTGAGGTCTGGGCGGGCCCTGGGGGCCAGTTCACATGGGGCCACATAGAGCTTGAAAGGGCCTCAGCTTCTACTCATTCCTCCACTTGCTAAGTTTGGACTAGGTTGGCAAAAGCGGAGGTGATCAGACTCTGGGTGTATTTGGAAGACAAAGCAGATGGGAATCGCTGACAGATAGTGAGTGGGGCACGAGAGGAGGAGGAGCCTGCATGGTGGCACCTTCGGCCAGAGCGACTGGAGGGGTGGAGCTGCCGTTGCTGAGACGGGGTGAGTGTGGAGGGCTTGGGGGTGACAACCGGGAATTCTGTCCTGGACGAGTCGAGTCTGAAATGCAGAGTGGACACCCAAGGCGAGCTGTCAAAGGGGCGCTTGGATATGTGAGTCTTGAGCTTAAACACACATATTTATTTGCACTTTCAAAGCCAGTTGGTTTAAAGAGAAAACAATAGCAGCAGAGGTAGCATAAGGATATGACAGGTCGTGGGAGTTGTACGGGAGTGAGTGACCCTCGGGAGACCCCATGGCGGGCGGTGGCAGGCCGGGGCCGGAGGAGCCGATGGGAGAGAAGTGAGCGAGCTGGGGTGGGGGGGGAGGCTGATCTGCCCCGTGTCCTCTCCCCCACCCCCAGGGCAGAAGTGCGAGCTGTGGCTCTGCGGCTGTGCCTTCACCCTCGCCGATGTCCTCCTGGGGGCCACCCTGCACCGCCTCAAGTTCCTGGGACTGTCCAAGAAATACTGGGAGGACGGCAGCCGGCCCAACCTGCAGTCCTTCTTCGAGAGGGTCCAGAGACGCTTTGCCTTCCGGAAAGTCCTGGGCGACATACACACCACCCTGCTGTCCGCCGTCATCCCCAACGCCTTCCGGCTGGTCAAACGGAAACCCCCCTCTTTCTTCGGGGCGTCCTTCCTCATGGGCTCCCTGGGCGGGATGGGCTACTTCGCCTACTGGTACCTCAAGAAAAAATACATCTAGGGCCAGGCCTGGGGCTTGGAGTCTGACTGCTGGTGTCTCTGTGCTGTGTGATTCCCGATGAGCTCTCCGCGGCTCGCTGTCTCATGGACACGTGGACAGCCGCGCCCGCCCCTCGTTCCGAGTCACCCTGTCGTCAGTGTGAAAACATTCCATAGTTTAGAAGTAGACGTTGCCAACGCCGCGGCTTGAGGCCACGGCCAGACTAAAGGAGAGAAGGAGAAAGTGAGAGAGAGAGAGAGAGAGAGAGAGAGAGAGAGAGAGGAAAGAACACAGAAACGAAACACGAATGCCTTTTCTTTCGACGCAAGGTCTCAAGATGGAACCGTGGGGACTGGTTGGGATCGGAGGTGAGTTCCAGGCCGTCTCGTCCACCAGGGCCCAGATTCTGGGAGGTGCTGGGGGCTCCGAGGGCCTGACCCCTCGCCTCCCTTCCCTCTTGCCCAGGGAACTCTTCCACAGGACAAAGCCAACACCCAGACTCGACTCTTCGGCACCTCCGGGTGGGACTGGAGAACCAGAGACCCCACGGGAGGCCCCTGAAGACCGGAAGGGGCTTCTTGCTTCTCCTGGATGTGCACTGAGACCGCACTGGCTTGAGCCAAGGCAGTGGCACCCACGACCAGGCCATGGTTGGGACCGGCACCATGAACACACCCTCTGCATTCCCCTCTGGATGTGGCCAGCGTGTTTGGTTTGGCGCTAATATAACAGAAATCCCTTAAGGCGGCATCCATCATCCTCTTCCTACATTGAGTTGCGTGTTCCTGCCCTGTAAGGTGGGACTTCCGGTAAAAGCCATGTTGACCTCTTAAAAAGTCAGCCCCGGCCCAAGAACAGGGGTGGGTCTGGAGGTGGATGAACCCGGGTCCCCCTCCCAGCCTCTGCCCAAGCCTTCTCCTCCACGCACGCCCCTCCATCACTCCAGGGGCTCCCCCCACGCTGCACCCTGCCATGCCGGGGGTCTCTGCATCCACGCTGCCACCCTGGTTGGGTCTCACTTTCCTGTGCCTTTTGCATGTTGGGAAAGGGTCTGGGTGTCACTGCCACTCATGCTTAGAAACTGCTGAAAGCCCCCAATAAAGCACCCAGGAGGAACAGTTGCTTTTCATTTCTAAGCCTGTGTTGTCCACCCAGTTCTCACTTCCAAAGATTGGGGCCAGAGGGAGAGAGCCATGGGGTTTCAGACTCGGTCTTCGCAAGGGTGAGCAGGAGTTGAGTTTGGGTCTCCAGCTTCGGGGGCTGGGGCTGGCTTCGGGGTAGACCTTCCAGAGCTCCGACCTTGACATAAATCCACTGCACTTGGGCACAGCACTTCACAGTTGACAGAGCATGTTCACAACATTGGCTCACATTAACCTATACATGGACCTGAGGGGGTACCCAGGGCACATGCCCCCCCCCCAATTTCACACAGAAAAAAAAATGTGTTCAAATGCCCAAAGAACATTCAATCGTTTATAGAACATACAGCATAATTTTCTTTCTTTTGCCAAAAAAGTATAAGAATCTGTGCATTTTAAAATCAAGGTAAAAAGGAAACTCGGTGAGCCAGGGGCCAAGACAGGGCAAGGGTAGAACTTAGCGACCGCAGACACTACCCACATCTTGGGCTCCTCAAACGTCCACTCGGTCCCTCCCTGCTCATAATTAAACTTCTGTGCAAGAACAATGACATGATGCTTACTCCCAGCAGGATCAGCTGCCCTCCTGAGTCGAGGACATGCTCACCCTTTCTTCAAAAATGAGACTCACAAAGCCCCATCCATCAGTCAGTAGCATAATCCCGGATGGTGCCGGGTTCTCCCTCATTCCTCCTCTGGCTCTAGAGCTCACACTCGCATCTCAATATGCTATAATATCCAGATTAAATGTCTCCTCAAGCAGATCCAGCCTTCCCTGCGTCCATGGGGCTCCAGGACTCTGACCTGTGTAAGAGGTTGTGAGTCGCTGTCGTGATGACTCCTGCAGGATAGTTGCCCCCTCCCTTTTCTTGCCTGTAGTTCTCAAGAGTAACAATAGAAAGTGGTGGGAATGTAATATCTTGAGACAGGAAAGGACTGGGCTCTGTTCCAGTCCTCCCTAGAACAGGATGTCCTTCAGTGCTGTAGCTTGGTGCGTCGCATTGCCCCAGGGCAGCAAACTCAGACCAGGCTTCTTTCCAGGGTCCCCAGCTTCGGGGCACTCACAGTTGAGACACTATTCACCCTGCGCAGCTTTCCTGAGCCTTGGGGACCAGGCTTCCGTTGTCCCTTGCTGCCTATCTGCAAGTAAGAAACCTGCTTTCTGTAACTCGTGTGAGTGCCGTATGTCTCACTGGACTCAGACAAGTCGGTAACCGGTGCATGGGGGACTGGCTTCACCACTTCAAGTTAGGTCTCTGCTCACTCTGTACCTGGAGTTTTCCTGACTGTATAGATCAAACGAGACTTTAGGAAGCTGCCCATATGTTTCATTTGTGGGGGCAATATGATCAACTCACCTCCAACAAAAGTCCCTTTGGGTCAGAATATTCCAGTTGCTCTGGCTCTGCTGCCAGGACGGTGACTGCACCCAGCTCACCTCTAGCCGTAAGTGCTGCCACTTGGACACCGCTAATCCCCACCCAAACCAGGAAGTCCATTTCAGTGGTGGCTCCTCCCACTGTCATCCCCCAGGCTACAAAGGACAGCACCGCAGAGCTTTTGAATGGTGCTGGTGCTTTCCTCACCCATTCCTTGCTCAATGCCTTAGTGAAAGAAGGGTCCTCTGCACCTTCCTGGTGAACTTAAAGTGGATGGGAGGGCCAAAGCAGAAGCAGTAAATCCATCACAGCACTCCTGTCTCCCGAAACCTTCGGCTTCCTCCCTCTACAGTCTCTTAGGGAAATTCTGGCATCTCAGTGTCCATGAATGTAGACCACTACTAAGACCAGGGTTCAGTCAATCAACCCAGTAAACTATTAGAGCCACTTTCAAATGCTGGGATACTGTGCCGAATCTAGACTCTCCAGTAAACGCAAGCATATTGATAAATTCAACTCGGCCCAGTATGGTTTGTTTTTCTTGTCTAGCACCTACAGAATCCATTCCCACACAAACTCCCCCAGGTTTCTGTCAACACATATTGATGAGACATTGCCATTCTTTGGTGTCATAGACTCTTCTTCTGGGTCAGACTTTGCACTTGTTCCCCTGGGGCTTGCATGGGTCTGGGGGCAACAAGGGTGCTGGGGTTAGGCCGAGGAGATGAGACAGCCCCTTGAAAGGCACCTGCCTTGGGTGAGGTCGTTGCAGGGTCTTCAAGCAAGGGAAGAATGGTCCTCTAGGAAGAGGAGGAAGGCGGTTTCCACTGTTGAAGGAGGCCTGGGTTGACCTGAAGGTTCAAGGTTGTCAGATTCATCTGAGTTCATCCAAAGGGCTCTGAGTGATGGGATCCCACGGTTGCCACTGAACTTCTAGAGGCACTGCTGTTGCTACCGAAGATCAGGGAACTCGGCCACTGCTCTGATGTGCTAAAATGCTTCTGATGTAGTTAGAGACCAGGGCTACTTGTAGTCACCTTCAGTCACCCACTGCCACCCATTGCTAGAGTCATCGGGGGGTGGGGGGGAGAATTTAACATGTCCTCACTTCCTCTATCTCCTAACCTCTACCAGCGTCTCCCCCTGGCAGAACTCAAAGGGAAGCAGGCTGAGAGATGTACATTGCACACTGCCCTGCCTTGTGATACAAGGAGAATGCAAAGGGGTAAGTGTGAAGGTCAAGGGCAACAGACATCGCCCGGTACACTAACCTTTCTGAACTTCTGGTCTCTCACCTCGAACACACGGTAGAAAATTCACACCCTTGTTGGTGCACATGCGGTGAAAAGGGAACACTTAACACACTGTCAGGGGGAATGTAAATTAGTACAAACTCTATGGAGGTCAGTATGGAGATTTCTCGAAGAACTAAAAGTAGATCTACCATTCGATCCTGCAATCCCACTACTGGGTATCTACCCAGAGGGAAAGAAATTATATCAAAAAGATACCTGCACTCATATGTTTATTGCAGCACAGTTGACAGTCGCAAAGATATGGAATCAATCTAAGTGCCCATCGACTGATAAGTGGATAAAGAAAATGTGGCGAATATAGACTGTGGAGTACCACTCAGAGATAAGAAGGAATGAAAGAATGTCTTTTGCAGCAACTTGGATGGAACTGGAGGTCATTATCCTAAGTAACTCAGGAACAGAAAAATAAATACCACACATTCTCATTTATAAGTCGGAGCTAAACTGTAGCTACACAAGGTCACACGGAGTGGTAAATGGACATTAGAGACTCAAAAAACGGGGAGGCAGGAAGGGGGCTGGGATGAAAAATTACCTGTGGGTGATTACAATGTACACCACCTGGGTGATGCGTCCACCAAAAGCCCAGGCTCTGCCACCACACAATATATACATGTAATGGAATTAAACTTGTGCCCCTTAAATCTATTAAAATAAAATTTAAAAAATAAAGTAAAAAAAAAAAATCACACCCTATTTACCTGAGAAGACTGCTTTGAGAAACGGCTGAGATGATGATTGTGAAAATTACTTTATTAACTACCAAGTGCTGTACATTTGTGATAGGGTTTTGTTATGATGGTTATGATTCCATTGCATGGCTGTCAATACTATTGCTGTAATGGATACTGGGGTGTGTCGCCATGTGCCCCTCCAGCACGGGGGGCTTTGTCTCCCCAGCTGCTGGGAGCCTTGGCTGCCCACGGCTCACAGCTGAGTCTCTCTCGGGCATTGCCCCAGCTGCAGGGGGCTGCCTCGCTCAGAGGTATTCCCCTTCTCCGAGGGTAGCTGGCATCCAGCGACACACAGGGACAGAGAGCTCTGCCCTCTTGCCTCAGTTTAGGCCATCATCTCTGAAGGGCGGCCTGCTTCTCTCGCTCCCTTGCAGGTGCCGTTTCCAATAACCCCCTACGTGAAACCCCGTCTCAGAGTCTGTTTCTGAGGGCGCCAGCCTGGCGCCATTGCCACAGTGCCTCCAAGCATCCTCCCCTGCATTTGACCCTTAAGCCCACCCTAAGATGTGGCCAGGACAGAGAGCCTTACCCCTTCTCTTTCAGATGAAGAAACTGAGGTTCAGGTGAAGTCACTGGCCCAAGGCCGCGCACGAAGTCGGGGCAGAGTCAGATCTGAGCACAGGCTCCCTTGACTCTCTGACAGACGTTTCCATCCTTCACTTCTGGGAAGAAGGCAGAGGTGACTGTTGGGGGCGGGCGAGGATTAGAGCCGGGGCGGAGGCTGCGTGTCAGTCTCTGCTACCTGCTGCAGCGGGAGGAGTGCAGTGTCATCCCGGGCTCTGGAATCCCGGCAGGACGAGGAGGGACTCACAGACACTCCCGGAGCACCTATGCTGGGCCAGACTCATCAAATAGGACCCACGGTGGGAGGGCTGGAGCCAAGAGTCCTGTCCCTGGCCCCATTCTTTCTCTCAGAATGCCATGAAGAACACCTCGGGTGGGGGACAGGAAGCCGCAGTCCTCACGCAGAATCCGTCGGCTGCCTAGCCCTCTGTGAGGGGCCATCGGGGGTGCGGAGATGGAGAGGAGGGGGCGTCATCCGAGTCCAGTAGTCGGGAAGATGGACAACACTGCCCGACTGTGACTGTGGGAGCCCCCAAAGTTTGCACCAGAAGGAAGGTCTCTCCAACGTGCACAGAAGGAGTCCTGTTGGGGAGGACGGCAAGAGGTGCTAACGGGCGTATTTTCTTCAGCTCACTGGTCCCCTACTGCCAAAGTCACAGACTCGATTGCCCAGGTCACAGCCTATCTCCAGAGACCTCTTTGGTCTTTCTCTAGCAACCTGGGCCCACACTGCCTACAGGCCTTAGTTTTCTCATCTCTGAAATGGAGCTGACAAGATAGCTGCCGTCCCGTGAATGCTAACTAAGCGCTAGGAATCTTACATGAATTTTCCTAACCTTAAGAAGAATAGGTTTTTAGGTTTCAGTGATGAGGAAACTGAGGTTCAGAGAGTTCACACACCCAAGGTACAAGCAGTAGATTGGATTGTTGGTCCTCCCCAACAGGATTATACATTCACAGCCTTTGACCTGAAACTCGGCA